TAGATTCTCGCATTTCCCGATCTCAGGTGGGATGTTCCCCACCAGAAAGTTGTAAGAGAGCTTTAAGTGATGTAAGAACTCGCATTTACTGTTAACGTCGATCCTAATCTCACCGGAAAGAAGATTATACGACAAATCGATAACTCTCAACCCTCCATTGCCAATCAGCTTATCGGGTATAGAACCAGAGAGCGAATTACGAGACAAGTTAAGCAGTCGAAGAGATTGCAGATAGCTTATCTGGTAAGGAATGTGACCGGAGAAGTTGCTACCTTGAAGCTCCAAAACCTCCAGGAACTGGAGCTGGCCGATATTTGCGGGGATCTCCCCGGAGAACCCATTGTTAGCTAAGGATAAAGCTCGGAGCTCCGTCAAGTTCCCGATTGACTCCTTGAGTGTCCCATAGAGAGCCCGGGATGACGAGACGCTGAAGGAGAAGTTGAGAGCGGTTACTCTGCCGGAGAGGTGGTGACAGGTAACGCCGTTCCAGGTGCAGTGGTTGACAGTTAAGTTCCAGTTAGAGAGGAGAGTGGAAGGATCGCGAGAAATGGAGGACTTGAAGCTAAGGAGAGAGAGCAGGTCAGCTGAAATGGCGGTTGTATCAGCGTGAGAGAATGCGAAAGTGAAGGAGAAGAAAAGAAACCAAAAAACCGCCATTACTATTCTACAATATTTTATATGCAGCTGAAAAAAGTTGGCCTGAGCTCGGAACGAAGAGAGATGGGAAAATAGTGGGCGAAAAGGGTAGTGGCAGTGAGAAGAAAGAGCGAAAGGAAACGCCCATTTGGAGTCAAAGAAGAATGGCAGCATTTCTTACCTGGGTCGGTCTTTCCTTAATTGGAGTATTTGATGTTCGATGTTAAAGACTTCATGGTAGTAAATTTATCTAAGAAAAACAAGAGAAAATGGCAGGAAAAGAGAATAGATAAAGGAAGAAGAAGAAGAGAGGAGATTAATCAGAGAGTCATTAATGAGATTAATTAAAAATTAATTAATTATTAAGAAAGAAAAGACGAAGAGGGGAGCAGAGACAGAGGAGCCGGCGCGAGTGACGGGAATCATAGCTACCGTTGTTTGTTGTTCGTCACATGCAAACACCTTACCATATATTCCATCTAACCTCATTATTATTATTATTATTTTTAAAAAAAAAAAATTCAATTATTGAATTCTGAATCCCAAAATCTTTATTACCCACATACCCCTGCACGTTTATTATGCATATTGCATACGCAGGAGTGTGTGGAACTCGTAAAGCTTATATTCATTCTGTACTTGTACGAATTGAATTCCTCTGATTTGTAAAAAAAGTATGATGATGATGTTTATAAATTAATATGTTGAAAACTACTCAAAGGTTGCTTCTGTGATGAGTAAACTAATCTTTCGTACGTATCCCATAAATTATTATATGATGTTTAAAAACCTTTTAAAACTATTTGAACTGCGAAATCACCCAACACAATTATGAAATTGAGACCTCATTAACCACCCTAACTCAAATCATACGCCACCCATAAATCATGACAGTAGTTAATTGATTAACTTATAAAAAATGCGGGTTAATTCCATACCTACGTACGTACATACATACATACATACATATACATATATATATATGTAAGAGAGGTTGTATTAAAATATTATATGCATGAAGATCATAGCTGGAAACTCTTGGAAGCACATCAACTCAGCTTTTAATTTCAAACTGGGAAGGAAAGACTCACGTGTCTGGATCAACCCTCTTAAAATTAGCGTTGTGGGTTTCATGCCCACCCGGAAGACGATAATATGTTCGTAGGGACATAATGTGTGAACATTTGAAAGTTAGTTCAAATTTCTTTTTATCAAATCTATATAGATAACTATATTACACATGGGTCCGAGCATATATATATATATATATATATAAATAATGCTTTCTAACTTAGACATAAAAAAAGCTTATGATCTTTTAATGCTTTTTCTTTATATGTGTGTGTGTGTGTGTGCACAGAACATAAAGAATTATTGAAGGCAAAAAGATCCCTCACTTTTCATAAAAAAGCTCTCCCGTACCCATACGCGAGTCTGTATGACCTCCATCCAATATCAATTAAATTAAATCTACTATGTAATACATATATATGATTTCACCAACTTTTTGGGTACTAAGTATTTTTTTATTATTATTTTTTGAAATATATAGATATTGAGACAGAGATATATATATATATATATATATAATGAATAGTAAATAAGGAGCAGGAAGGAGATGACATTGGTAATGGGTTGATTCCTAACTCGGACGGAGGAAAGTTGGGAGCATTTCCTTGGGGGGGAGGGGGACATAAGCCACTATTTAGCCATGAATCTGGCTGAATGTCTGTCACCTGTCAGTCTTTTGTTTTTTTATATAAAAAAAATCAAATTAATTAAAACTCCTCATAAACGAGAAATTTCATTTTTTTTCTAAAAAGAAATTATAATACAAGTGGAAACATGGGCCGCCTCTGTTGTCTAATTTCATTTACTAAGAAAATGATTGTAATTTTGTATTTTCATGATAATTACAAATATATGTTCAATTAAATCATAAATGAACAGGCAGGTGAGTAATTTTATTCTTACAGTAAATTAGTAATTTCCCACTTTTGAGTTACTAGTTTTTTTTTTATTATTTTTTTTTTTTTGCTTTCATTGGAAAAATTATCATTAAATTAATTATGAAAAGATAAATCCCACAGAAGCAGTAGAATCAAAAGTAAAAGATTTTTTCCCCTCCCTCGTTCTTCACTTCTTCCTTCCTCCCTCCCCAAATGGATCCTGAAAGATTTTACCATTGAAGGAACTGATACTCGAACTTCAATTTTCCATCAACTCTAAGGATTAGCCAAACACATTGCAATCTTAAGGAACATGATAGGACCAAAATTGTCATAAATTATACAGGCCAATAATTGGAGTTTAAGATGACAAGTCTGAAATCTTTATTTCTTCACTTGTATAACGAGATCAAATGTGGAATACTGTGAAATGTTAAAAGATTATCTGGAGAGAGTACCTCCAATGCACGATAGAACAGAAGAACCTTCTTCCTGAAGCCAAAGGAAAAACAGGGGAGAAAGTGCATTCAATTATTTTCTCAAACTACAGTGGGACATTTATAGTGTAAATATGCTTCATGTGTATATATGTCTCGTTAACAAGGGGGTTAAGTATGGATTAATAATTGCTCATTGTCATGATCAAAACATACAATGTTCTTCTCCCAACGTACAGATTGAAATTCTTCAGGAACACAGTCTTGTCCGTCATATACAGCACCATTGAAAACTCTAAATACCCTTTTGACTATTAAAATTCAATTTATGCATGCCCAAACCGTGGTTATGATTCATAATGGGTAGAAAGTGGAGACATGAAAAGGAGTGGGATCATGAACAGCAGCACCACAACGGACAATGTATAAAGATGTCTGGAAATCCATTTAGGATGATGCTATCCACATCATCGTCAACGGCTCTCCTCAAGAAGGGAACTTCACTTTTCCCTGGGCCAACTTTAATTGTAATGACACGAGACACTCTCTATAGCACTTGCTCATGTCACGGGAACAACTCAAGCCAGTTTGCAACATGGCAAAGCAGCTACAGCGACCAGCCAGTTAGCCCCACCATGTAAGTCCAATTATTCATAAGTTGGACTAAAACCACAACAGAGGTTTTTAAGGAACAGTTGGTCGTGATTCCAGAAGCATGAAGAAAAAATATAATGTTCGAGACATATAAAGATAAAACAATGAGACACCATTTCTACTAAATCACAAAACTGTCAGCTGGCAGATCTTATGAGACAGTAAAGGATACAATTCCAATAAGTAAAAAAGCCAGACCTCATTTGCTTTTCCCAATTCTATCACAATTCATTGTTTTTTCAATTCTCTCACCTTATCCTAAATCCTCAAACATTAGGAATTGGTTTCTGCCTCTTTTTTGCCTTCGTGTCTCTTCCTTTTCCTGCTCCTACTTCTCACAGTATTATCCCCATCCCTTTTTCCCTGCGAGGAAGAAAAAACTCCACTCTCAATTCAAAGAATATCCATCAAACAAGGCAAACAGTGGGAGAAGAATTTTTACAAGCCACTGTACTTTTTTAGTACTACACAATTACTAAGGTTAAAAAAAAAGTGTTATTGTATATAGTGCCAAAAGCATGTTAATAAAGAAATATATGATTTAATGGAAAAAGGAAGATTGAAATTCAGCATATCTGATAGGACAGAGAAACATACTTCCACAAAATTTTCTTCTAAATTGTACTATATTTTTAGTAAATAGTTACACCAATTGAATCTATAACATGACATTGCTTCCTTGCAGTGACTTAAGGAGCTTATCAGTCCCTACAAGCAAACATTTGGACTCGTTTTGCAAGCATGCCATATTTATCCGTTCTGCCAAAACCACAACTTAAAAGAACCCTGAATTAAATTCTGCAACATTCGATAGAGTTGGCAAACATATATCTTTTGTTAAGCTTACGATATACAACTCCAGATTTCAGGAAAAATTTAGTTTTTCTGAAAGAACACGTATAAAGGTATTATTAACTATCAGGAAAAACTTAGTTGGCATCAAATGCTTTACATAACCAACCCTACTACTCTTAACACCAATAAAATTTAAAGCTTATATGTTGAAGTTATTATAAGAAAAGATCAAAAGAAATGCATTTAAATGTCAAGTCCAGCTTCTGGTGCCATTTGCCCTCCATTGTGTGGCCAGACCATAGAAGAAATTGACAAGCCATTCTATTACAAGCTCACCTTGCCAAAGACAGGATTTTGGTTTTTGTGATTCTTTTTCTTTTTACATGAAAGTGGATTCGGTCCCTGCAAAATTCAAGGATAATGTCAGACACAGGAGGCTCCAAGATGTTTAACTTCCCTCTAAAAAGAACTAAAGCAAAATATCCAAAATCTCAATATGCATAAAATGATTTGTCCATAGCCTTGACATCAACTAATTTTCATACTACCCAATGAAGGAAACACAAGAGAAATTAAGTACCAGATTCCCCCAAAAAAACAAGACGATTAAAATCATAATAAGCACAATACTCATAAGAATCCAATGAAGTAGATAACATGTCAAAGAGCTAAAGGACAAAGAAAAAAGAAATAGTCAACCAATAAGGCTCACAAAAGCAAAAAATTATACCTTGGCTTTCTTTCTCTTAAATTGAACTCTATCCTTCACACCTATTTCCCTTTTTCCAGTTCTTGGTCTAATTACAGCCTCCTTCCTTACACTTTGATCTCCTGAACCTTCATTTTTATCAGACAAGTCCCCTTCATCATCAGTTGTCAGTATCTTCTTGGTCCTTTTCTCCAACATCTTATATTCTGATTTAGTCATATGGAGGCGCTCTTCCTCAGAGGTTTTGGCATACTGGTGTTGAAATGCAGATGGTTGCTCAAGGAAAAGGGCATTTCTCAGACCAAATACGAGAGGAACACCAGGCACCTGCACAAAGATGAGCTATCGATTAACCACATTTGCACCTTCAGGTAGATGAATTTAGTCTAAGAAAAGCAATTTTACACCACAACCCAATACCCAGTCCATTACTTCAAAGACTCGAACTACAATGCAATGAGATATGGGAGACAGAAGGAAACAAGGATTGGCAACCAACAGACATTTTAGCTCACTAACCTCTTGCAACTTCTTCCGCAGATTAGTGTCCTGGGTAGCAACAAAAAAGTGTTCAGAGTTACTTTCTCCAATAACCTCCATGATGCATGCATCTGCACTTTTTACCTTCTCATGATCGCATCTGAAACATGAGGTTATTTGGAAGGGGGGAAAAAAGAAGAGAATTTAAAACTTTACTGCATAAGTACTTCCAAAAATCCAATCGTATAAACAACCAGATAAACCAGAATTTCAAGTTTCTTCCAGTAGAGAAGCAACTGACCTTGCAGCAGCAAGCTTATGAGCTGCATCAAGGGACTCAGAGTGGGAGCTACCAAGTCTTTTCAACTCCGCAAGAACACACCTTTATACAGAAACTAAAATTTTAAGCCACACAATATATACATAGGCATCTATAAGTATACACATATGAAAAGAAACAATAAAGAGAGTGAACAAGAAATTCATTGCCCAAAAATTGGACTAGAGAGAAGACAGAACCTGGTGGTGAAGAGCTTGACAGGACCACTGAGGATATTAGAGAGTGCAGTGTCAGCAGGAGTAATTTGATTAACAAGAAGGTGATGCACAAAGGTGCCGTCGCAAAGCACCTTGTATGGTTGCCTAAACCCAAAGCACACTGTATAGAATCTTATTATCCTCCTGTGTCTCTTCTGCTTCTTCACCCTCATCTTTACCCTTCAAAATATGTTCAAATTTTTTTGAGGAACAAATTACTCCACCTGCAACAATGGCAGAGAATACAATTAGAAGCATGAGTCAGAAATAAGAGGTAACTGCTGCAATGCCTGAAAAGGATGTATAGCAGCTAAGGTGTCCATCGGTCTAAGACTGGATCATTTTGGATGGCCTGATTTTCTTGGGTTCCACATGGACCGAAGACCAGACTGACTGGTCAGTCTTGTTTGGTTCAACATGTTTTCTTGTCCTCTCTTTTCTGAAGATGTTAATTTGGTTATTCGTAGTTAAGTATGGTTAACATTTTTCCCTTATACATATAAACCAAATTCCAAATCATTGAACAAACTACCACTACTAGTGGAGTTGCTAGTCTGTATCAGAATAGTTATTTGATATGTGGAATGTAATCAGAATCTTTACGTTTGATTCATAACTAAACTAACTCCACCGTCATCTTAGAATTATGAATTTCTACGTCTATTTGAACAAATTGAATTGAAAATAATGAAATTAACACAAAATTAGCATACTAGTTTTCTTCAAATCTTTATCTTTTCCCCGTTCTATTCAGATCACCATTCTACAAAATTAACATTTAATTAAAATAGTCCTAAATTATACACAATATAGTCCAAAAAAACTAGAAAACTACAATTTACCCAAAAGAAAAAGAATCGTCGTAACATATTCCAAAACTCTAAAACACTTGAATAAATAAAAACCACAAACTTTAGAACGAAAACCGCCGGCACTGCTCATACCACTGAGGTGAAGGTGACAGGCTGTGGGTAAGGAGGCAACTGCACACTGGACGACAAAAAAAGGGTTCACGAGAGTTGAAACGCTGGTGCACCGGTGCAACTGGTTATGTGCCGAGAGAGACAGAGGAAGGCAAAGGTGCGGGTCTGCCTGTGGTTGAACCAAACGCGAGTGGTAGATAGATACAGAATGATAGAGAACGGAAAACTACTGTAGCCTCCTGTGAGGGTGTATATGGCTGAGTGCGCGGATTGCCGAGTGCTAACCGAGAGAGAGAGAGAGAGAGAGAGAGAGAGAGAGAGAGAGAGAGAGATGAGGGTCCGGGAGATGCTAACATGCCTGGTTTCTTTTTTTCTTTAATTTATTGCAAAAGATTTAGATTGAGGGTTTTAGGGTTTAAATTTAATTTGGACGGGTCGGGTTATTTTCAAACGTTTTGCTTTTGGGCTTTACATTTGACATTTTACGGATATATTTTTTTTTTCTTTTAAGAAACTCTCACATGATTTTGTAACAAGTATTTACCAATAATAATAATAAAAAAAACAGGATTTCTATTAAATACTTGAAAATAATTTTAAGAAGATAGGAAAAAAATATTTTTATTTCTTTTATGAAACTAATTTACTTAATTGTTATTTTAAAATTATATACATAAAGAAAATATAAGTAAGGAAATATTTGTAATAAGAATATAGATTTTATTAGTCTTATCTAATAGCTTTTTTTTTTTTTGTAATCAATATTTTGTATAAACGCATAATTACTTATTTTTAAAATAAAAACTTATATATTTAAGTAATTTAAATTTAAGACTTTTTTAATCATGATTAATTATTATTAATTTATATATATTATAGATAATTTAAAGTTGATTAAGGAAAGAGAAAATTGTCTATATATTTTTTATTTTAAATTTTACAAGATTTTATTAGTTCAAAGAAATATTGCTCAAAATCAGCAATTAGTTTGTTTTAGTACTCTAGCTTATAAATTATAAATCTTTGCATAATTAACTAAAAGAATACATCTTCCAAAAAAGATTATACATTTTCCCCCAAAAAATAAGTAAAATTACAACATTCCCTACAACCAGTCTTCTCCTTTTTTTGGGGTGAAACAAACAATGGTTTTGTTTGATACAGTATTTTTCTTTATAGCTGCCTAAAAATCTAACAAGCAACAGAGATCTTTTCCTGTATAGCTGCACTTCTAAGGTTAAAAATCTCAGACATTCTTCACCCATCTTCTCTACTGTCCACCCAAATCCATTGCAAAATAGCTCATAGCTCATAGCTCATAGCTCATAGCTCATAGCTCATGCCACTGGAGGGTGCATTGTCAGTGATTCTCAAGAGTTCAAAGAGAAGTGTCACCTTGTTCTCCTTGAAGATTACTACATTATTTTTAAACCTTGCCAAATAGATCAATCAGCTCGGCAGAAGCAGAACCAGCCAGAGAGACATATGAAAGCAAGAAGGTTAAGGGATTAGCATCAGTAACAAGACTCCAAAGTATCTTGATTGGCCATGACAAGGTGCAGTGAGAACTCTTCATGTCTTGGTCAGGCTAGGCAATGGCAAGCAGGCTACATTGGCTTCTTGGCTTATGCATGGTAGCAAGTTAGGCATCGCAACTTGCTCCAGCAAGTTATATTGGGTTTTTGTACATTGCAGAAAAGAAGGGTGAATCTCAGCAAAACCAAGCCTGTAACAGGGTTAGGCACTATAACTTCGATGGAGACTGACCTCTTGGAGGAGTAAAGATCGAGCTCTGTTCACAGTGTTAAAGCAGAGGCATATATGTTCCTCAAGATCTTTTAGCTGGTGGATGAAACTCACATGGCTCTTGCGGAACCGTTTCACAATTTCCTGAATGGCATACTTGTCATCCCCCCTCTCCAATCCAAGGCGAATGAGACCTTTATCACCCTCAATTTCGCTATACAAGATGTTAACAAGACGATCAATGGTGTCGAGATCATTGTTGAGAACGTAAGTACCCTTGGCAGCAGCATCGAGTTGAGAAATATGAGCAAGTTCCTTCTTCTTGAAAGCGCGAGGAAGGTAAGCACTGCATAGGGGACCTGCAACAAGGGCAACAAGAGCATGAGATGCGATAACAGCAGCAGAAACTGCAACTCCAACAACAGAACCAATGATGCAAATGGCAGAACCAGCAGTGGCGCGGCCAAGGATGCGGACACGAGACTTGGATTTTTGGAGTCTGCGGTCCAGTTGCTGTCTAAGCTGGGAGAAGCAGCTGCGCATCTCGTGGAAGTCCTGAGAGCCTGGGCAAGGGAAAGGGTTGTCAAGGCGATCGAATTCGAGAAAAACACGGAATGCCCAGTTGCACTGGGGCTGAGTAATGGAGTCTAAGTCATGCGGGAGGACATCAAGAAGCATGTCAATAGGCCTGTAAAGGTGCCGAGCGCGAGGAACGCAGTGTTGAAGGAGTAGGCAAAGGTTGGTGGTATTCTCGCTGTGGTCAAAGTAGCTGGAAATAAGGCGAGTGAGCGTGTTGTGCTTGGCATATCTAAGAGCTTCTTCCACGCATTGCCTATTTGGTTGGAGCACCTGTGACAACTTCAGCCGATGTTGATCACCGTCTTCGTAGTGGATCTCAAGTTGGTCCGATTGGTGTTCGTCAGGATCATAAGCATGAATCCTGGACCACATTTCATTGTAGGAATTTGTCTGAAAAGAAAGAGTGTACTCTGGGGTTAGATTAAGGACGGGCGATGGCTGGGTACTCGAGCTGGGTGTGATCTCGGGGGAATTCCCTGTTATCATGAAACAGAGTTCGTTCAGGCATTTGAACAAACATGTGGTATACGTATCAAGATTTGACCCAGAAAAGACACCAGAGTTTACCTTGGGATCCAGGAGGAGGATCGAGAGTGAGGTTGATGGTTGCAGGTGATGGAGGGGAAGCTGCCGATGTCGACGACGTTGACTTAAAGGAGATGCACGGCAACATCTGGAGGTGGTGATGCGTTGACCAAGATGAAAGCGTAGCAGATTTCCGCAAGCGCTGAAACGGAGGTGCAGCGGAAGAGGAAGTGACGGGTATGGCGGCAAATGGGCAGTGATTGGAGAAGCATATCTACATGGATTTTGATGCCGAGTACAATGAAGAATTCTGATCTGACATGCTGTTCAAAGGAATGGCCAGTGATTTTCAGAAGAAGTGGCTCCCGTTAAGTCAAAGGAAGTAGTCTTCAGTTCCTGTTATCCAAACTCAGTCGGCCGTCAGTTATATAGCCTGCCCTGCTTACTTATTGAAGAAGAAAAAAAAAAAAGAAAAAAAAAGAGTTTCTTCAACTAATTATTAGGAATATATCAACATAATAATTTTTTAATTAAATATATGAAGCATATTTTTAATGTTAAGAAATATAAATTATTTATTTTTAACCATTCATATATAATTATAAAGTTTTGAAGTTCGAGAATATATATTATAATATTTTTTATAACTTATATAATATATATTAGCGTCTGGGAATTTTATTTTTTCTTCAAGAATGTGAGTTTGAGCTCTATTTTTTCTTTGAGAATGTGAGCTTGAGTCTGTCATTTCTCGTTGTAAGAACAAATGGGACAAGAAGTGATTTACTCTGTGTGTGTGTGTGTATATATGTATGTAATCACACCAACTCCAATCTTCACTTTGATATTAACAAAAAATAATGGTTTACAACAAGTTATTTCTCATACACTTTGATGAAAAAAATGAAAAAATAATACAGCTGTTCTTTATACAGTTATCAAACAGCTGAATCTCCTCTGAAAAAAAAAAATATATATATATATATATATGACAAAGATGACACACTGAAACATTTTGGAGGCAAACTAGTTTGTTTTATTTTGTTGCTTCAAACAACTGGCTTCCGAGTGTCACGGTAGGCGTTCCTTCACCCATGATTGTTGTCAAGCTTACTTCTTTCTCGAGTATCCTATCGAGTTCCATTACAACGTAACTCATTGCAGGTCGCCTCTCACTCAAACCTTCCAAACATCGGATTATCAATTCTATCAACTCTTCCATAACTTCAGCTGTGAAATTACTACCTAGTCTCTTATCAATGATGCCCCAAATAATGCTGTAATCCTCACTATTCTGCACCTTCATAATCTGAATTCCCAAGCAACCGATAGTTTTAGTTCCTTATAATTTTACCATTTAACTCGACTACTTGCTATCTCACAAAAACATATTTCAATGTGATACTCGATATCCCCCCTAATCCAGCTACAGATCTCTCTGCCAAACTATCCATTACCCATCATTATATTCATTTACCATTTTTAACAAATGAAGCACATACCCATTCAACCAGGTTTTCGCTTGTTCCTGAAGAAGCTAATTCTGATGCATCTCTTCCGCTAACCAATTCCAGAAGAAATACTCCGAAACTATAAACATCACTTTTTTCAGAAAATCCCCTGAACTCACGCACCCTGCATAAGTAAATTGAAAATTACCAATGATTTTTTTTTTTGTTGTCAACTAAAAAGTTTAAGCGAGAATGAGGAGCACAAGAGAAATTATTACTCTGGGGCGAGGAATATCTCATCTGCTGTGATTTTGGAAGATGGACCAGCTAGCTCAACTCTGCCCA